GAATTTCATAGCAGTATTTCAAATTTAGAATATGAAAAACCAATGATAATCATTTGATAAAAATCATATACGGATTGAAATTTCTTTTTGAAACAATTGAAATATTCGCGGTTGCACGAATAAACAGATGCGCAATACAAAAGATATTCATGTGCAATCAAAATATTTTTGTAAAAGGAAATTAAAAAAAAAACAAGTTTTATTGTATCGATGTATCGTATATCGTATTTTATCACTAAGTATTTGAAATGTACTAATTATTGAATTTTATATTTTATATTTTTAATATCAAAGATACAATCGCGGCCATTACAAACCTAAGCAACGTCATAGCTTCAGTAAAGGAATTTCAGAACACGACAGTTGAACGTGTACGAATTCTCATTTCAAAGTGCGTGTAGATTAGTTGATTTTCTTTAAGAAAGTTACATCTCTCGGACTGTGATCTATGACGGACTTTTGTAATATGTTGTAGAGTAATGTATACGAAAATAATCTATGCCTACTGAAAACTAGTCATGAATTTCGGAACTGTAGAATGTCCGTTGTGTATACCGAAAATAACATACGCCACAGGCGCCATTAAGTTGCGCCATCTAGATACTATTACGAAGAAATTATATTAGCCAGAGTTAGGAAAAATTTTTGAATAACGTTATTACTCTTCCCGATAGCGAGTATTGTAAGGTAAAATTAGCAAATATAAAAATTGGTGCAACACACACCGATTACGTTTGCGATATGTTTAAGTGCAGGAGTATACATTCTTTATGATTATATTCACTTAACCTCAATTTTAAATGTAAAATGAATACCTGTGATTATAAGAATATAATTTTATGTTTGTCTTATAGTAAAAATAAGAAAATTCAATCTCTTTTAAAAGAAGAAATTGAAGGCGCTCTTAATTATACAAGAAAAAACGTGAACTTCAAGAGTTTGAAAATATCGATAACAATAGCATTCTACAAGTAACGATAATATATATTAGTGAAACTAATTTTTATTCATTTTTTATGAGTTAGCAAACTTATAACAATGGCATATAGTACGTACAATAATTTTCCACAAAATTAAGGAGGAAGTAGGAAGTATTATAAATGCAACATGCATAAGTAGTGTTACAAAAAGGATTAATTCTTCTTTTTATTTAAGAATCAGGTAAATAAAATACTGTTATTTATAATAATAATGTGTATAAAATATTACAAATGTATGTATTTAATTGAATTAACTCTTTATTGTTTTTTGTTTAGATCATAGAAATTATGCAAATACATGTTTAGAATACAATGGAAAAAATTTAAATAATTGGTTCAAAGATGCAGTACATTGAAGTTAATAACAAGGATCATAATTATAGTGAAGTAAAATTAGATAACCTCCAACATAGTGATAACATTACTCAAAATATATGTGACAATGATGTTAAAGTAACTAAGTCTAGCAAATCTGGATTGACATTGAATAAAGAAACATTTGGTCAGATTAAAGATATTAATGAATTAAAAAAAATAACACCACGTGTAAAATTATTGACTCACGATGCAAATAGTTTAAATGAATTAACCAAAATTTCATTGCACAATAAAGTATCTGCACAAAAAAAGTTATCAATATTGGAGCAAACAAAACAGGAATTAAAGAAGTATTGTAGGACTTGTGCTGGTTTAAAACTTCCATTAGTTGACATTTTTAGTGAAAAGGGTAATCAAATGAGATTAAGTCAACAAATTAAACATTTGGAAGACATAAATCCATATGACAGTTTGTCAACTCAAATGTGTATGGACTGTATTTGTGACTTAAAAATGAGTTATAAATTTTTTATGCAAATTAAGAAAGCAGAAGTTAAATTGAAATCCATTCATATTACTCTAACTGATACAGCAACAAAAAATATAGAAGCGAGCAAAATACAACCTACAGAAAGTTCTGAGAAACAGAAAGAAAACATTATGGAGTGCAACGCAACAAATCTATTTCTAAATAAAGAAAATAATGAACGGACATGTGTACCAAAAATATCTGCAATTTTTTCACTAAAAAATGAACAAGAATTTTTAAAAGTTGAAAAAGTAGATTCTGTTGAAGAATCAGAAAATAAGACTGACCTTGAAATTTTTAAAAATTTAGTAGTTCAACAAAACAGTGATGACAATGAATCTATAGAAGAATTTGATCCAGATGATCCTCCTTTTCAGCCTGATAGTTCTGATACTGCAGAATCTGATGATGAAGTAAATATTCAAACACAAAATATAAAAAAATCAAATACTCAACAGAAAGAAAATATTAAACAATGTTCGCAACCAGTTTTTATTTCTGATAGTAATTCAATTCCAGATAAAAGCACTGATCTTCATCAAACAACATATAACTATGACACATTTTTAAGAGCATATATTAAAGTAGAAGACACAGAAAGTAACAATCTGTCTACAGAACCACACAGCATGATTAAATCTGAAACTATATGTAATGTTGAAAGTGCAAAAGAATGTTTGAAACAACCAAATATATTAAAACGAAGACTTTTATTACAAACTAAAAGAGACTTTACTGAAGAAACTGATGAAAACATTTGTCAGTCCAATATTTCTGATAAAATTGGAAGTCATGAAGACTTTAAAGTACAAAAACTGAATGTAAACAATTCTTTGAACATTAACAGTAATCAGGAAGATGGAATCATGTACGTTACTGTAAAAGGGTCTAAACCGAATGAAATATTATTAGTAAAAGTTAAAAAAATGGATAAACCATTAGAGAAAAAGGATGATAAATCTGTAGGAAAAAAGAATTTTGATATCAAACCAATGGAAAAAATTTTAAAAAGGTATGAAACTCTAGCTACTAAAGAAAAAGATTTATTTCCAGAACGAACAAAAAAATCTGAAATTAGAGGACAAATTATAGAAGAACAAATAGAAGAATACAAGAAAAAGCGAGAAAAAGTATTAGGTGGGCATGCCAATATTTCTCTTCCTGTAAAACTTGAAGAAAGTCAAACTCGTTACTTTAAACGCAATGAGAATCAAGATAATCAAAGATCTTTTACACATATAGAAACTGATTCTGTTGTAAACATACAATTTGATAAAGATAGTGAATGTAATGCAAATATTAAAGTTGAAAATGATATTTCAGAAATTGTAGAACCAGTCAAGGAAAAACTCACTAATGAAAAAACGTATGTAAATACTGAAGAATATTTATCGCGTTTAGCAAAACTTAAATTGAAATGGGAAGAAGTAAAAAAGAAGAAAGAATTTCTTCAAAAAGAACTTGATGAATCTTATACAGAAGGAAATATAGAAAAATTGGCAAGAATTTTGGGAGAGAAAGAAAAGAACTTGCAAGATTTCCAAGATTATTTAAAACAACGTAAGATTGTAATTACAAGATTAAAGGATGAGGATATCATTTCCCTTTATGAAGACAGAAATAATGCAGTGCTTAAAAATAGTTTACCTGACTTAATAGATGAAAGCCAACCAGCAGATTATATTCCAGAAGAACATTATTTGGAATGTGATTATTGCCCAGAAACATTTGCTTCTAAAGATGTACTTGAAGAACATTTGAAAATGCATGATTATAAAATTATGCATTTTTGTGAAGATTGCATGGAAGAATTTCCAACAAATAAAGCAAAAAGAAATCATAATGTAATTTGTATAAAAAAATTATTATGTAAATATTGTGACATGATGTTAGATTCAAAAGGGAAGAAACGTCAGCATGAACAAAAACATTGTGACAGTTTATATGGACAATTATGTGATATATGTGGTGAAAAGTTTAAACATCAAGGAACATTAGACCAACATGTAAAAACACAACACATGAGTTGGGAGAAAATATATCAATGTCCAAAATGTCCTAAAAAGTTTGCATTCAAACAAAAACTTAGTTTTCATCTAAAATCTGTACACACAACATTAAGGGCATACTTGTGTGAAGATTGTGGTGCAGATTTTAAAAATCCTGCAAGTCTTAGACATCATAGAATACGTAAACATCAACCAGTAGGTAATAAAAGGGAATGTCCAGTTTGCCATAAATTAGTGCCGTTTTATAGCCTTTCTAAGCATATGCATACTCATAAAGCATATACTATTGAGTGTCCACATTGTGACAAAATGTTTAAAAATAGTTCAACTTTAAAACAACATGTAAGAATTCATGAAGATCAACGTCAATATCGATGTGATACCTGTGGTGTTGGATTTAACAGACGGGATGGCTTAAGGTTACATATGAGAGTGCATGAAAAAACTGATAGTAGAGGATTGAAAGAATGTTCATGTCAAGTATGTGGTGAAAAGTTTCCAAATCATTCAATGCTCGTTATACATAGAAATAGAGTTCACAAAGATGGTAGGCAATACACATGTCATATATGTAACAGATCAATGATTTCAACTAGATCATTAGAATGGCATATGTCTCACATACATAATGAATCACTTCCTGGTGTTATAAAGGAAGATATGGATGGACCACCAGAAAAGAAAAGAGCATCATGCTACCATTGTAATAAGACATTCAAAACAGAAATGATTTTAAGAACACATATTAAAAACACACATATGGAAAAAGACCCTATGAAATGTTTAGATTGTGAGTTAACATTTACTTCTGAAGTTAGATTAAGACACCATATGATGGTGACCCATAACAGACTAGAGGGAACTTTACCATGCCCACATTGTCCAAAAAGGTTTGTAAATCAACTTAGGTTAAAGACTCATATGATATCTCACTCTGAAGAAAGGCCATATACTTGTGAAATTTGTGGATTTAATTTAAAAACTAAGATACAGTTGATTAAGCATCATCAAAATAGGCATAGTGATGAAAGACCTTTACAATGTAGATATTGTCCTTGGAGATGTAAACAAGTTAGTGCTCTTGTATGTCATGAAAGAACACATACAAATGAGCGACCATACTCTTGTAGTGTGTGTAGGCAACGTTTTAAATATTTAGGTGATAAGAATAAACATGAAAGGAGACATGAAAGTTTGGGTGGATCTGGATTTAAAAGAATTGTACTTGGTCGAAATATCAAAGCTAAAGTACAAGAAGATTCTTCTTGTTCTGAGCATGAACAAGAAGGTTTAACTAATACAGAACATCAAGTTCCTGAAGGCCAATACCAAGAACAAGCAGATCAACAATTTGAAGAACAGATAGTTAAGTTTGAAGAACAAGAAATAGTAAAGTTTGAAGAACAGGAAATAGCAGAAGAGTATGAGCAAGTATACGAGCAGGTAAAAATACTTTATGGACATTTTATTAGGAATACGAAGAAACATCCAGAGAGGCTTCGGATGCAGCAGAAGTTATAATGAATATGGAAGATACTGTTTATACAGAAGAAGTGGCTGCAGATAATATTGAACCTGCAGAAATTATGACAGATGAAATGATGACAAATGAAATATTACAATCAGGTGCTGTAGTTCATTTGCAACAAGAAGATGATTCAGGAAAAATACAAGTTATACCAGTGATGTTATCCTTGCCCGATTTATCTGATGCAAATACAGAAGTCAATCTAGCTACAGCATCCATTATGTATAATAATTAAATTCAATATTCGCACTTTATATGTGGGATATACTTTGTAAAAAGAAGTGACTTTTACAGTTTTATTCTGGTAATTATACATTAAAAACTGTTTATTTGGTATAAATAAGTAGGGGCTAAATCACATTCCTGTAGACCCAATTTCAGTATATTCTAAAGTGTATATTTCCTTTTAGTATATATAGATTTTATTTTGTTAGGACATTAACTGTATACCCAAAGGTCAGAATAATTATCTGCTATTGAAATAGCAGTTTTGTAAGGTTATTTTACTGTATGAAAATACTTATTAAAACCACTTTAAGATTGTAGAAATAATGATATAACAGATTTTATCTTCATAGTGATTCTCAATACAAAAGTTTCGTTTAATTATAAAAGTAAATAAAAATATTTGTAGTATAATATGATGTATTTTGTACAAATCTATGAAAGACAAGTATTTTACTTGATAATATAAATATCAAGATTAATAAAATTGATATTGTTCGTCACACTACATACACATTTATAAATAGCTTATACTTTAAATTCTTTTTTTTTTTTTGCTTTCTGACTATTAATACTTGTTAATTGCTTAATATTCTTTCACAAGTATTCTTAATTTCTTAATTCGTTAAAGTACGAGCAATACTTTTTTCCATTATCGAGATCGTGCATTTTATAGTTATAAATTATAGTCAATTAAGAAAAAGTTATCAAAGGTTTTCGATTTTGTCAGTGTTTTTTTCTAACAAACTTAAGAAGATTTGTCCAACATGTAACATATGTTCATATAATATATATTTTGAATGTAATGTTGTATGTTTAAAATAGGAATTACATTATAGGATTTTATACATTATGCAACAGATGCTCAAGCATTAATTTAAACATAACTTGTACAATAACAGGTATAAGTAGTGTTGTTTGCATTACTTAATAATACTTATTTGCATTACAATAAATTACAGTAAACATTTGTGCTAATACAAATTTTGTTTCTTTATTGTTAGAAGGTTGCATTCAAATTTGCTATATTTATGCACTGCAGTAGACTTTGTATACAATTCATTAAAATCATTTTTAATATATTGCATAATTATTTAAGTTTTAATAAAACGAATATATTTTATTTAACACATTACAATAAGTTTTATATTTGAACACTTTAGTTTTCTTTCAATTATAATGCAATATTACCTTTTAACTTTTATTTATTTTCTCATATTATTGAATTTTTTGTTTGTAAATCATATATGTATTTCATTGTGGCAATAAAAGAAATTGAATGTCAAATTCTTTCGTATTTGATACTTCATAAAATATTTGTAAATATTTATATATTCTTACATACATAAATGTTTGTTAAATATACATTCAAATTATACATAATTTTTTTGATGATAGGATAATGTACATTTTTTTAAATAGGTGTAGAAATAAATCATATATTTATATTGTATATATTCTTATAAAATTTATATGGAAAATACAATTGAATTTTGTATTTATATAAAATAAAATTAACGTATACATTATACGTTAAGAATAAATGTAAGTAGATATTAACTTATCTAATACAAAGATAAATACTGTAGTCGCTGTGCTGTACACGAAAAATGTACAAATATACAAATGTATAGTTATATTAAAATTGCATTAATTTTTAATATTTTTTTACTTATTTTTTTATAACATTTGAAATATTAATTTTGTTCTATGAATTCAGAGTCTTCAATAATGTCTAATTTTTCCAATAAGTTTTTATTTTTCTAGATTTTGATAATATTGCACAAGAACAGACCATGCTTTGGGTGGCATAAATCCATCAGGTGGATTTTCACCTGCTTTTGCTAAACCTATATAAAAACATTATAAATGTTTTACTTAATTTTAAGTAAATTAAATTTATAATCTTAATATTGAATAAATGGTGCAGTATTTTATAAAAATATAATGAATAAATATATCATACATACTACGCATTTTTGTCCCTGATATAAATTCAAAATCTTCTTTTCGTTTTTCGTCAAAAAAGGACATTTTTTTATGTTTCTTATCATATGCTGCAACTTTAAAGGGTATGATTTCTAGATTTTGTAAACCTCGAGCTATTGAAAGAACTCGTGCACCATGAGTAGAGTCATAAAGATTTCCATCAGGTGTTGCAGTTTTATTAGGATGTGGTATACCAGCAGGATCTCTTCCAACAATATAAAAGTTAGCACCAGCATTCATCCTAGCCTTTGCATGCCATTGTACCTAATAATAAACAAAATACATGCAAAATGAAAAAACAAAGTATCATTATAGCATTTTGTTATAATACTTTATACACGTAAT